TGCTGTGGAGCAGGTGGCTGTGCTGCAACGGCTTTGCTTGCATTCCTCACCAGGGACCTGCTGGCAGAGATATATCACCGGGCCTGTGCTTCTGGTGCTTTTCTGTCAATGCTTTCTTCCCTGCATGGCTTCCAGAGGCTGCACCCGAAGTGCTGGCCAGGCAAGCATGACTTAAGGCTGAAGACAGTAAATTTATGGTAGCCACAGCACAAGGACTGTACTGTGATACCATCCAGCATGCAGATGCCAACAGAAAAACCCCCTTCTAAGTGCTTTTGTTCATGTAGGCAGGCAGAGCAGGTGTGGACTAGTCCTGCTGGAGGAGAGGTAGGGAATGAGTCAGAACAGACTGCAGAAATCAGGAGCAGTTTGTAAGTGTCACTAGGAAAGAAAAAGAACCTACTCCACAGGGCACCAGGGCATACCCTGATTGTATGATCTGGACTCCAGCACCTCACCTGAGCATGAGGGCACTGACAGAGCCCAGGGCAGGTTGAGGCCGATGCTGTGTCTTAGTCCTGGGCTAACATCAGGCAGGCTTAAAGCATGTCTCTGTCTCCCTCCTTGCACTGCCAGCATGCTAGAGCCCTCTCAGCTCCCCAGTGTTTATTGCACAGACCTGTCTGAACCATGTCATGGTCCAAAAAAAGTGGTGCATCAGGAAAGTAGGAGATAGAACGCAGTTGCTGTGCTGCTGCATCTCTCTCAGCAGCTGTAGATGTTGTTATGTTATTAGATGTAGTGCCTGAGCAAAGAGCTCTCATTTATTGTCTTCAGTCACAGTCTATATATTTTTTGATGAGGTAAAAATAGCTTTTCTTTTTCAGGATATGCAGAGAGCAGAGGCTCCTGCTAACATCAAAGGAGAGTGACAGCTTTCCCCGGGTGTGTGTGGCCTCAGCTGGCAGGAGCAGTAGCTGTGTTAATTCTTTCGTCGCTTTGGCTCTGTGTGAAAGGAAAGATGTTCTTTCCTTGGAGATGGTCTCCTTTTCCCATTCAGGTCTCTGGACCAGCCCCTGTTTCACCCTCCACTGCTGCTGGATCCAGCACTGTACTTCAAAGGGAAAGGGATAGTTTGCAAAGGACAGCACAAGATCTAGAACATGTTACTTAGAAAACCCATTAGGCAGCAGACAGGCACTGCAGGCCTTCACAGAGCTGTGGGCTGTAGCCCTCCAGGGGATTCTTATCAGAAGGATCAGTCTGCTGTGCAGGGGCAGCTTCTTGCTGCCTTGCTCTGTGCAGATTAAGCTGTTTGTGATATCTGCCCTCCTCACAGTTCTGAACCTGCTCCAGCTGGAGCAGCCAGCAAAGGGGAACCACGAGCAGGGAACGAAGGAGCCAAATGGCAACACAGATGTCATCTGTATCTGAAAATGCTCAGCAGGGACTGAGTTAACCTTGAGCCTCACCTGTACCACCAGTGACAGTCCAGAACTACCTCTCCTGTTAAGGGTGCACAAAAATGGGCTTTCCAAAAGCTGATTACTCATGATTATGTAATGGTGGAGGATTGTGCATGGTGGAGAGGCCAGTCTGACGCTGAGGGAAAGCTTGTCCTCTCTTCAGCACCAGAAAAATGCTAATTGACAGGTTGCTTCCCTTCCCACAAAAATGCCAGGGGTCTGCCTTCCCTCCTCCTTCTACTTTGGGATTTCTCCTTTGCCACTTGTGCCAAGTTCTTCTCCAGCTCTGTCCTTTGCAGGGGAACATGAACAGATCTTTCACTTCCTGCATGCTCTGATTCGCCTGCTGCAAGATGGTTGAGCTCCCCCTTGTATCCTGCTCTGGGGATCCCTGCTGGGCTTATCAGCCTCTGTGGTATGTGCTTTGGGGCTGTTGTGAAATCTCCAGTAAGCAGAAAGGAGCATGGACAAAGGGTTTACTCAGGCTGGTGCATGAAATGAGAACAAACTCACTTGGCAAATGCCTTCCAGAGATGACTTCTTGTGCCTTGACTCTCATCAGTCCTATTAAGGTCTGCAGACCTGTGCTAAATCATGTGGGCAGAGGTGAGGATGATGGGAGAATAGAACTTAGGCATATGCATTTTTCTGTCTTGAGTCATGTGGATAGGGGTGAGGATGATGAAAGAATAAAATTCAAGCATTTGGATTTATCCTTTCGTCAGATGAATTTTCCCAATGCTTTTTCTTTTTCTTCTGGGTTTGCAGTATCTGCCTGTTCTCTGTGCTCTGCTGGCTGACTGCCTGAGGCTTTGCTACTGTGGCCTCTCTGGAGATGCTGTATTCTGCTGAATGCTGCCTTCTACTCAGAAGGCAGAAACCTGCCAGTAGATTTTGCTTCTACTGCAGGGCCCACTGAGAGCATCCAGTTTCTGTTAATACAGACAGGAGAGTAAGTTCCTGTAAGACAGACAGTATGGCTTCTGTTTCTGAGCATTTTGAGGTGAATCTCCTCATCTTCCCTGATAATCCTATGGGGACCCTAGGTGTTATCCCTACCTGCTCTTAATCTTAGCAGCTCTTTTATTGTGTTTTGGAGACTGACAAATTCTTCTCATCTGATGAGAAGGGATTGAGGTTATGACCTGCAAAACTGTGTACTTGATATCTGCAAGGCAGAGAGGTCCAAATGAGCATTGGCTCCAGAGACATTCCTAGGTTGGACAGTTACTTAAAGGTCAACCACTACACTGATGTGAGTTTCTGGTGTTTCTGCTGGAAATAATGCCTCAAAGGTGAGGATCATGCCCACTGTTCGACACAAGCCCAGATGAGCAAGGAAATGTCCAAGCAAATGGCAAAATGGCTATTGCCCTTGGAGAGGGTTTATCACATGTCCTCAGCTGGCAGAGCTGACTTTAGGTTCCAGAACACTGGCAGTAATAGCTGGAAGTAACTGAATTACCTCTGAGGTGTGAGTTGGACCTTTCCAGAGCATCTAGACAGGATGCCCATGGCAGTATATGGCTTGGTGCCAGGATTTGGGTTTGCATCTCACTGCCAGTCCTGGGGTTCTTTGGCTCTTGGAGTGACTGCTGCTGCCCAGCCTTCAGGTGTTTCCTTGCTGGACCTCCTGTCTGCTGCTCCATGAGTCTGTGTCAGCTTGGCTGAAGAGACAAGTGGGCAGACAGGGTAAAGAGGGAAATGCAGCAGGAGGCGCGTGTGCCGGGCTGGAATAGAGTGGTGAGTTGCTTCTTGACTGTCTTTGTGTCCCAGAAAACACTGTGAGATCCAACACGAGTCCCTGAACTCATTTGTACTTGGAAATCATCTATTTATAGCATGTACCAGCTCATACAGAGTGGGCTCCTGCTAAGTGTGGCTACCTTTAACAGGAGGAGGCAATGCTGATACCCTCCCTTTTTTTATCAGTGATATGCAGCAGGAGCTGGTGAGAGCTCCTCCCTGGGTGTGGGCGGGAGCAGGCACTGTCAGAAGAGATTAGAGCAGGACACTGACTGCAGCCAGAGACACAGCAGGCTTATGAACCTCTGACTGCAGCCCTTGAGATCCAGCCTGAGCCTCTGGTTTGACTTCCCCTTTGCTTATTGCCTTGGCCATGGCTACAATGCAATATGCTCATGTGGTTCCAGGCTAATGGCATTAATGCTTTGAGAGCAGGAGGACACCTAGGAAAAGGAACAGATGAACCCTTTACTCAGGGCCAGGAGAGGGTGTAATGAGAAAAAAATTTACTCTGACCCCAGGAAAGAGGGAAAGGGAAAAAGGTAGATTGTCAGCAGACAAGGGGAGATTTTATTTTCCTGAAGAAAAAGAAAGGGGAGTAAAAGCACAGCCTGATGTACTGTGCTATGTTTTTGACTTTAGAAGGTCTTGAAGCACTTAACGAAGTCCAGATCTGAGGCTTCTCTCTTGCAGAATTGCTGGCAGCAGCCTCCTGACACTTCACAGCTTGGATGTCTGCAAGTCTGTAGAGCATGATGCCTGTGTATAGGATTTAGCAGCCACCTAAGAGTGCAAGAGGTACACAACAGCAAGTAAGGCAGCTTATTTTCTCCTCCAGAATATCTCCTTCCTGGAAAATTACTAGGAAGGCAAAGGAGAATGGAAAAAAACTCTGCAAACTCCAAATAAAGGAAAATCAGCAGGGACAGTTTCTGCATCTGGAAGCAGTTGCTGTATGTTCTGGGGCACACAGTGAGTGACTGTGTGTACATGCAGCACGGCTGTGCTGCGCTTTGTGTGCGCTTGTTCGTGGGTGGTGAAAACAGTGCAACGCGTGTGTCGGTGTCTGGGTGAGGAGTTGGGATGGTGCTGACTGGGATATGTGTGTGTCTCTTCTCCATGTGCACATCTGCTTGTGTTCATGGGATCTCTGCATTTCTTGCTGTCAGTGCTCCCTTTTGCTGAAATTCAGGACACAGCAGTGACCCAGCCCGTGCTTCCATTTCCTGGGGAGTGAGTTGCCCTGAGCAATAGGCAAGCAGTCCCATTGTGCTGCCTGACATCAGAAGGACAGTGTGACTGTGGATCTGCTTTTACTGTTTGTGGGGAGCTACTCCATCTTCTCTGGTGGAATGCGTGGTCAGATTGCTGACGCCCTGTATCTCTCTGTGCATCTCTGGAAGGTACATGCTGAGCATGGGGAGCAAAAGGACAGCACCTCTGACACATTCCAGCCTTGAAATGTTTTCCAAGGCCTGGGCCCCAGCATCCAGAAAGTCAGGAGGGAACCCCCAACCCTCTCCTCTGTGGCAGGAGTTACCTGTGAGTTGCCAGGCTCCTGGGCATATCTGTGGGGCTGCTTTTCCTCTGCTGTTCGTGAGGTGGTACCTGCAGCTCTGACCCCCTCCCTGCGCTTGGCAGCAGTCATTTGCTTTCCGGAGATGGCTTGGTATTAAATATCCTGTCTGACACAATAATGGAGAGAAAATGAACAAATTCCATTAGCAGTTGGCGATCCCTGCAGGGTTTGCATTGGAGAGAGGACGGAGTCTGTATTTTTAGATAGAATGCAATGTAACTTACTGGCTCTCTCAAAGCTGTGGAGTAGATAACCAAGGAGGGAGAGAGGGGACACCAGGCTCAGGTTTCAGCCGAAGTGCCGGACTATGGCAGCACGAAAAGGCAGGTCCGGTCCAGACGTGGCTGTGAGTATTCAATACACTTCTTCTTCACACCCACAGAGACCTCTGCTTTGCTTTTCTGCTTGCTTTCTGCTTGTAGTCTCTGCTGCTGGGTGTGCTGGGGCTTTGGGAGCCCCTTTACTGCAGGGCCATGTAGAGTTTTATCATTTAATCTTCAGAGCTCCATGTGTGTTCCATGGATGACAGAGCCTGGCTGAGCTGTGCTTTGAATTTCCAAGGGTTTACTGCCTTGTTGGTCCTGACCTGAGAAGGAGAGGCTTCTAGCAGTGTCTGGAGTTGGAAAAGCTCTTTGCATTCAGCCTGTTGCTTGAAGCTGTCACTGTTTCCTCACTGGACCCCAGACGGCACGCAGAGCTCAGAGCGTGAATGTGCACTTCTAAGCACAACACTGGTGTTTCCTTCTGGCTCTTGCAGTTGATCCTTCTGTGTGAGCAGAGCACTGAAGTGCCGTGTCTCCTCTGTGTTCACAGCCTTCCAAAGCCACAGCTCTGCTGTGAATCTGGGGGCTCTTCCTTGATAGACGGGGCTCTCCTCTGAGGTGGAAGCAAGCAGAGCCAGCTGGCACGGGAGGTCATGCGATCAGCACGTGTTCCCCCCGCACGCGGAGGCTGAGCACTGTGATGTGGCATGGTGGTGCTGCCCTCCACCACCTGTCCTTCTGACCCCTGGGCAGCCCCAGAGGGGCCATGGCACTCTGCCACTGTAGAGGTGGCCTAGCCTGAGCTCTGTTCCCGGTCCAGCAGGGCCAGGTCACCCTGTTTGTGAGCCTTACCTCTACAGCAGGGAACAGGGTCCTAATGGGCCCAGGGCATGGCTGCCTTTCTCTGTGGTAGGAGTGTCAGGCAGAAAAGTTGAACTGGGGGAGGCAGATGGAGAAGACCAGAAAGCATCTGAGTTGTGCTGCTTCAAAGTCCCAATTCAAATGTCTGAGACTGCAAAGAGAAGAGAAGAGAGGAGCCCTGAACCTGTGTGGTCCATCATCCATCCCAGTGCTTTTGTCTCTGGCTGTGTTGATTCCAGGTCCTGCCCAGGAGCTTCCTAATCCTGGATGCTTTTCTGCAACCAGGCTGTGGGCAATACAGGATGGCTTGGGGTGGCAGCTCTCCTAGCACAGGAGGTCCCTTGGTCAGTCCTGATGTGAGTGGTACAAGAGGGGTTCTAATTTTCTCTTGGAGCTGAGGACAGAGGAGTGTGTCCTGTACCCATGCCGTAGATGTCTTGTGGCTCTTGGCTGTGGAGAGCCCTTTGGGCTGGCCTGAGCAGGCACATACCAGCTCCAGTTACCACCAGTCCAAGTTCCCAGACTCACAGACCCACATCACTGCATTTCCACCCTGTTCTCCAGCTTCTAGTGTGCCATGCCATTGTCTCCATTTGCTGCCTCACCCTGCTGAGTAGTGTTGCTAAAAGGATTGCTGTGCCTTGCCTGGGCTGGCTGTGGTGTAGCAGGGAAGTGCTGTCAAAAAAGAGAGTTGTGACTTTCACAGCTGTGAGGTGCTGAGCTGGGGCCGTTGTCCCTGGTGCTGGTACCCGAGCTCACCAGTGTTGCTATCCAGTGGCTTCTGGAGGAGGGTAGGCTCACTACAGCTCCATCAGTGTAGTTCTTCAGCCCAGGCACAGAGGGGTTTCCTGGGCCAAGGGAGGCTGTTTTGGCAGGAGCTCCCTCCCTACTGTACCCATAGTGTGGTGGGATGAGCTGCAAGACCTTCTGCCCCATTATCTGGATGCTCTTCACTTTAAGTCCAGGTCCCGGCCCTTCTTCCTGTCTGATTTGAGGCACCTCAGTCTGTCCCAGCAATTCCCACTGTGACTTGCCTGGCCTCTGCCTTTTCTGCTTGGTCTGTTATGTTCTCTGCAGCTGAGTGAAGAATTGACCCAGTGCTGGTGGTGGGGGAGAACAAGGGGGCTCTGAGTTTCATGCTTTTTCTTTTTGTCCCCAAGGCTGATGCTGCAACCAGTTTCTTGAGAGCTGCAAGATCTGGGAATCTGGACAAAGCCTTGGATCACCTCAGGAATGGGGTAGATATTAACACCTGTAACCAGGTAGGTGAAACACACAGGGTTTCTGGTACTATCTCTAGTTCACGTGAAAATGTGGCTGACCAGAGGGCAGACCTGGAGTAGTTGTCTTTGGGGCCAGGAGGGCAGCAATAGCTATAAAGATCTGGGGACCCTGGATGTACTGGCTGGAGATGAGGTCCTTTAGTGTGGCAATCAAATGGGACAATTGCAAAGAGCTCAGCTGCTTCTCAGAGGGCAGAGCAGAGAGCTGTGAAGAGTAGTTGGCTGGAACATCACAGGAATGGCTCTTGGGGGTTATTTCCCTTGGCTACATTGCTGCAGTGCCGAGGCTTTTGGATTCCTAGAAGCTGCAGTTTATCACAAAAAGTGAATGTTTGCAAAATGCCAGTTGCAGTGGTTTGGGAGATGTTGTACAGGAGGAGCCCTCCCATGCTGCAAAGAAACAGGTTTGTACAGGAGCAAAGAGCTGCAAGCACTGAGGATTTGTTTGCACATCATCATCAGAACATTTTGTATCTGTGTAGCTGCCAAATGCAAGTGGCTGAGCCTGAATTGGGGCAGATGCTGCAGGGACAGTTTCAGGGGGCTTAGGCTGAGCAGGGGGAGCAGACAGGCTGTGCTGTCACTGCTTTCTGGAGCAATGGTATTGCTGGGGAGGCTGACTCAGCAGGTAGCACAAAGGCACACTCATCTGTTTCAGTATCAAGTCCCTGGACCAAATGAAGTTCAGACCTACTGATTTGTGCAGTGCAGTTACTGGGGACAGGTTCCCACAGGGCAAGCAGAGTGCACCATGGATGTTCGCTCATTTCCAATAGCAAGCCTAAAAGTAGAGGGAGGATTTCTAAGTCCACTGGTCCTGTAACGCTCTAGCCCAGAGGGATATGGGGGTCTGGAGAGGGCTCTGTAAAGAATTACAACAGGGTGACTCATCCACAAGCTAAAAATGATGGCTTTGAACTTCTTCCTCACCAAAAGTGATGGTCTGTCATCAGCTATCTCCACTGGCTGGCTTCAAGTCCTGTTTCGAGCCAGATTTCTGATGCTGGTGAAGGCATTTAACACTTTGATGGAAAGACAATGGCTACAGCAGTATGAGGGTCTTCTCCCAGTGATGTCTTTGCACTGGTTCCTGCCATCTCCCTGAGGTTAGATGGCACTTTGGGGTTTCCTTCTGAGGAATATCAGACCTGTGGGAAAGGTCCAACCTCACATGTCCTGTATAGAATAAAGAGGGATATATGTGGTCAGACCTATCCCACAGGCCCTGTATTCTTACTCAAGTTCAGAGACCTTTACATGCCATCTGATCTTCATCCCACCGATTTCACCTCCTTCATTGCTGCATCAGTGTCTTCATCATCCACCTTTCATGTTTCAAGTTCTGACATGGTCCCATCTCATCCACGAGGAGCTGGAGGACTGAGGATGGGTGCACCTTGCTGCCAGGACTCCAGCCAGCTGGGAACAGCACTGTGATGGCATGTGGGTGCCCAGAAGATGGTCTTTGTTGAGGTGGCCAGTCCTGATGGGCAGTCCAGAGCAGGTCCCTTCTTTGCGACAGGCTAAGTGCGAAGTCTCTGTGTTATTCTGTAGGGCTGCATTTGTCACATTTATAGCCAGTGACTGGGATTTCTGGGAATTATTTGCAGCATTTGGTGAGGAAAATAAAGCCCCTTTCAAATTACACACATCCTGTGGCAGTTTTGGGTCAGATGAGCTGTCCAGCCAAAGCAAATGTGCAAAACAGCCTGTACTGTTGCTGGAGCAGAAATACTGATGGGCCATCAATGGAAAAAATCTTCTGTGCTTATTGCACAACTATTTGTTACAGATTAATGATTTGTCACAGGTTTATAGCATTCAAAAGGTTATTTATGAATCGTTTGTGTAGAAAGGGTTATGGGCTGAGTGGAGCAGCTGAGCATCTGTGGTCGTGCTCTCAATTTGTTGGTTAGTGAGTGTGACTGAGATAAAGCTTCCATGTCTGTGGCCACTTATCACTTATCTGACTTGTGAGCTCACAGAGGTAAGGGTGTCAGTGATTATCTATATGGGATTGTGTAGGTGTGTCTTCATCAAAGAAATGGGCTTGGCCAGAGAGGATGGACTCAGTATAGCCAGACATGGCTGGGAAGCATTTCCTTTCAATGGCACTGTTCTGTGGGTATTACAGCACTCCTACTTCATTTCCCCTTGGAAGCAGACTTTTTGTGCTTGAGGCTTGATAGAACTCTGGAATTGGGGTGCTGAGGAGGCCTGTGGGTTTTAGATTTTTGCTCTTTGTACTGAAATCAGAGTTGAGCAAAAGAATCTGTGACTCTTCAGCTATGATCCTGGGCAACTGGTGCTTTGAGTGGAAAAGAGTGGAAAACCCTTTTCCAGTCTGGCAGCACTCTTGAAGCAGTTCTGAGTTTAACTGGAGTGTTGAAGGTTGGAACTGAGCCTCCCTGGGCGTTTTATGCTCCCCTACCCCTATATTTAGGTGGGGATGAAGCATTTCTGTGAAGTGACCTTCCAGTCAGGAGTTGAAACACATGATTGCAAGGTGGAGTACTTGGGCAGGAGCAGGTGTCCCTCTGCCATGAAACAACACTGTGTAGGGGTGAGTAAACCTAGCATATCCACCTGGGAGAAGTGAGGGACAAGGAGAAAAAGTGGCATCTGAAAACACCTGCAGTTATTTAACCTCTTTTTCAGCAAATATCCCAGCCCGTTGGTTCACATCTGGGAAGTGGAAGAGGGTGTCAGAAATAACAGAGCAGAAGCCATTTTAGTAGCCTTGAGGATGCTGTCTGGCCTGGCAACCCAGAGATGCTAAAGGAGCACTGGCCAGTCCTCTGCTCTTCAGGTTCCATGTGTAGGAAAAAGGCAAACTAAACTGGGGCACCTGCAGAGTTGTTCCTGAGAAGTGACTTTAGCTCTTTGGGAGCTTCCTGAAACTGGTAGAGCTTAACACCTTCTGACTGATACAGCCAACACCTTCTCTACACTCCTTTCTGAAGCTGAATTCTGGGGGAGCAAAGCCCACCATGGGCTGCAAGATGGGGTACTGTTGGTCAGTCTGAAACACAGGGAGAAGCCAGCTTCTGGCCTGGAAGCTCACAAACTAAACAAAGTGAATTAAATTTGGCTGCTGCTTGATAAAATCATTGTCCCAAGCAGGGCTTCTCGTCTGTCTGTGTAAATGTTTAAGATTTGTATGTGCACTTAGCAGTAGTGGTGCATCCTTGCTCTGGGCTGTGCACAAAGCTCAGCTCTGTGCTTTAGGTGTGAAAAACCTGACTGTAAGGAGGGGCACCCTATGGAAAGTCACTTGAGCAAAGACAGGAGTTGACATAAGGAGTGTACAATGAGCAGGTAGGACTGAAGCAGTTCTTGTGCCTCAAGCACATAAACACTGAGCTGTGGTACCACCCACCCGTAGGAAATTGCCTACGTGGGCTGCATGTTTTGCTCATGGAGAAACCTCCAGCATTAGTCAGCAACTCAGCATTCAGCTGTGTGAAGTTTTCCTGGCAGCATGGAGCTAGCTGTTTATGGCACCAAGGCTGGATGTCAATGCAGAGCTCAAGGACAGGGCAATCGCTCCTGCCCCCTCCAGCCTGGACTTTCTCCAGCATGGGCCAAGTTCCCACAGTCTTGTCTGCCCAGGAGCTCAGAATAGGGTGCTCCCCAGAGAGCTCCATCCCCAGATGGTGACTAATTCCCCATTCCCACCTTTGCTTCCTCCAGAATGGGCTGAACGCCTTGCACCTGGCCTCCAAGGAGGGCCATGTGAAAATGGTGGTGGAGCTGCTGCACAAGGAAATAGTGTTGGAGACAACAACCAAGGTAAGGACAAGGAAGTCTGGCCACATTGGTCACAGCTCTGCATCCTGCCATTACTGCCAGACACACCAGCAGTAGCTGAGCAGTGATCATGCTGTTTGCTGTCAGCCCCCAGAAAAACTGTGCCAGTGGCAGTGCTGCTGGGCTGGGCCCTGCGACCAGGCTCTGGTTTTAGCACGGGCTTGACATCTCTAGGTGGGTGGGAGGTGCCTCTCCCCTGTGGGGGTCATTGTGGACTTCAGAGGGGAGTAACATAAACTACAACATGTGCTAGTCCTGTCTTACTAAAATCTCCTCCTGGCATGGGCTGCTGCCCCAGGGCAGCCCCTGCATGTTCCAGCACTAAGATGGCCTCGACACCATTGTCACAAGCCTGGAGATCTCTGGTGCTCTGTAAATAACATCTTGTTCTCTCATGCATCAGCACAGCAGGTGTGTTTCTCACTTGATGACAAGCAAGACAACGGCACAAGCAAGCAGGGCTGACAAATGAGCAGCCTCCATCACCAGCTGAAGGGCTGCGAGAACAGGAGGAGGCCTCCGTTGCCACCTCTGTGGTGCTCTGGCAGGGTTCTGGACACAGCAGAATCTGGCATTCTGCCACACCACCCAAAGGCACAAGTCGGAAGAACCTGTGTGTGTGCATTTTCCAGCCTGCTCATCATCTCTTATATTTGCTGGGATGCCTTGGCTACCAGGGTATACACTGCAGTTTTGCCTGAAGACTGCCAGCTCAGCTCCCCCAGCCTCCCTCCCCCAATCTCTCAGTGCTGGAGATGCACAGTGCCTGACAGTGCATAAAGCTTCTGCTGCCAGTATCTTCATGGGAGAGAAGAAATCACTCTCTTCCCTGGCCAGCAAATGGGAAGGGTGGCTGGTTGGTCTAAAGCAGGGATGGAACATGGAGTGAGAGCTGCATGGCCTTCTAAAGGTTTTTCTGGCCAGCTGCTCTGATTGCATGCCTGTTAGCACATGTCAGGCCCATCCTTCCCTGGCATCCTGGGTTGCTTCAGGCCCTGAACACTGTCCTGTGGTGTCTTTCAGAAGGGAAACACAGCCCTACACATTGCTGCCTTGGCTGGACAACAGGACGTGGTCCGGGAGCTGGTGAACTATGGGGCCAACGTCAATGCACAGTCCCAGGTAGGGTGACCTGGTCTGAAACAGAAAAGCACCCATCATGTGTGATGGTTGTGTCCTCATGGTGGGAACTGTGCCTAGCATGGGTATTTCAGTAGCCCTTTGCTGTTTCTTTCTAGTCTTGTTCAGGAGCAAGGACTGCTCTGCCAAGAGACTCCTGAAAAGAGACAAGGGTGCAAATGGGGTGGAGGGAATCTTGAGGCACATGGGGAGACCGGCGTGGTCTCTGTTGAGGGAGTCCCTGTCAACACATCCAAGCATACTGAACTTATCCTGGGAGGACTCATCGCCGATGCCTCCCTGGTAAAGCTTTGAGATCTCCAGCAACCCGCGCAGTTAAACGTGCTGTGCTTCCTTCGCTCTCTCTTCCTTGGGCCTGAAAGGGCTGAAAGTTCTTCAGATTTTGCCTGATGGGACAATTGTCCCTGAAGCTAGAGACAATACTGGCAGTGAGCAGAAGGCAGTGTCTTCTGGGTTGACTCTTATGAAGCATTGCCTGCTTTTTTCTGGATATGTGGAGCCTTGAGCTCCATCTCTCTGTGATTGTTCCACTGGTGCCAGTTTTTTTTTTTTCTTTTTCACACCCACAATAGATGTTTCTGCCCCTGTTCACTGACCTGGGAGTGTGGGCGTTGATGGGGGTGTAGGTCTTCAAAGAACTCAAGAAAGAGTTGTGTTGATGTGCATGGCCCTGTGTTTGCAGAAAGGCTTCACACCCCTCTACATGGCAGCGCAAGAGAACCACCTGGAAGTTGTGAAATTCCTGCTGGAAAATGGAGCCAACCAGAACGTAGCCACAGAGGTGAGATCCTTGGGGAGGAGCCTGTGGCCCTGCCTGTGGGGGCTACTGAGGGATGTGCTGGGTCCTGCTGTGGCTGCTTGATTCTCTCCTTCTCCTTGGCAGGATGGCTTCACTCCACTAGCTGTGGCTCTCCAGCAAGGACATGAAAATGTGGTTGCTCATCTTATCAACTATGGGACAAAGGGTAAGGTCCGTCTGCCTGCCCTGCACATCGCAGCCCGCAATGATGACACTCGCACAGCTGCTGTGCTGCTGCAGAATGACCCCAATGCCGATGTCCTCTCCAAGGTGCGTGGTTTTCCTGTGCTGTCTCTGGGAGATTCCCCAGTCCCCAGGGAGAACAGCAGCTTGGTATGCTGTATTAATCCATAGTTTCATCAGGGAGCATGTGTCTGTCTGGCTGATCCTTCCTTCTTTCCCTAGACTGGATTCACCCCTTTGCACATTGCAGCCCACTATGAGAATCTCAGTGTGGCCCAGTTACTGCTGAACCGTGGAGCCAGTGTCAACTTCACACCCCAGGTGAGTGCAGAGTGGGAAGCTACTGGGGTCTGTGCTGCTCCAGCAACAGAGGAGGATGCTGTGCCTCCTATCCATGTAGTGTGCAGCAGCAGCTGCCAGGGCTTCCTGGTGAGGTGGGGCTATGCAGAAAGTAGCACAGATGCCTGGGGAGGTGCAATTAATAATCATCATGGGCCTTTTCTGCTATGTCTCCCTTCTGTCAGAAGCAACCATGTGTCCCTGAAAGCTTTTGGGGACCTTGTGTCCAGGCTGAGGGAAAGCTGGTGCTGTTGCTGCAGGGCAGAGCTCATAGAACCCACAGTTAGGATGCCTCTTCCAGAGCCACAGGTGAAACCCAATCCATGAGTTGGTGCTTTCCTGCAAGCTCTGAGTAGCTTCTGTCTGCAGCCTTTAGCTGCACAGCCCTCTCTCACAGCCCTGTTAAATAAGGTGTTCTCCAGCATTGTCCCTGGGCAGAGATGTAGCTCTCCCTGCACTCTCTCCTTTGTTTGTCCCTTACCTCCTTCAAAGAGAAGGGGCTGCTCCTTCTGACAGGCTGTCATTCCCCCTGGCAGAATGGGATCACTCCCCTGCACATAGCTTCCCGCCGGGGCAACATCATCATGGTGCGGCTGCTGCTGGACCGCGGGGCCCAGATAGAAACAAGGACCAAGGTGAGAGCACTTCTGAACACATCCCATCTTTACATGGGCTGTCTCCCTCCCTGAGCTCCTTATGCCCAGTGCTTACTCTGCAAACATCTTGCTGGGAATGTGAGGGAAGGTCTCTGGTATACTAAGGGGATGGACCAGGTTTTTGCTGGCACATGTAGACGTGAGGAGGCTGCATGGCTACAAAGGTGTGTCCTGGGAGCTGAGGCCATGCTCAGTTTCACCTTATTTTGCAGACAAGTCCGAAGTCCCTGTTAGTCCTCTACCTGAGGGAACCCTGCCCTTCCATGCCATAGTGAGCCCTTGAACCCTTCTCTCTTCCCAGGATGAGCTGACCCCTCTCCACTGTGCAGCACGTAATGGACATGTGAGAATTGCAGAGATCCTGCTGGACCATGGGGCTCCCATTCAAGCCAAAACCAAGGTACCCAGACGACTTGGTGGGGCTGTGATTGGTGCCAGGTCCCAGGGCAGCACAGTGGGGTAACAAGTTGTGCATACTAGCTGGATGGCACCCATGGCTGGCTTGGGGATTTTTTTGGCCTGATGAGGGGTAAGAAGCTTCCTACCCTACTTGGCCCTAGCTGAAGTCCTTTGCCTGAGGGCTTCATCCTTCAAAGGGACTAGTCCTGAGAAGGGGATGGCCTGGGTACAGTCTACCCCAAGGCAGCAGCTCTTCAGGCCCTTCCCTCCACTCAACATTACTCCTCTGTAAGTCTCACTGAGGGATTTTGGGGCTCCTCTCTGGTAGCACCCTGGGGAACAAGCTGTCTCTTCTGCCCTAGAGTAGTGTCTGGGGGTGCGAGGCAGGGACTGGGTGGGATGCCTGGACCCCCTCCTGGCCCAGCCCTGAGGCCCTGCTCCACGGTCGCAGAACGGCTTGTCGCCGATCCACATGGCAGCACAGGGTGACCACCTGGACTGCGTCCGCCTGCTCCTGCAGTACAGCGCTGACATTGACGACATCACCCTGGACCACCTCACGCCCCTGCACGTGGCTGCACACTGTGGACACCACCGTGTGGCCAAGCTGCTGGTGGAGAAGGGGGCCAAGCCCAACTCTCGAGCCCTGGTGAGAAAGGGTGGGTGGGCTGAACCAGGGGAGAGGGAGTGTTCCTGCAAATGACTGTCCATCTGTCTGTCTTGTCTGCAGAATGGCTTCACGCCCCTCCATATTGCCTGCAAGAAAAACCACATCCGTGTGATGGAGCTGCTGCTGAAGACAGGTGCCTCCATTGACGCTGTCACAGAGGTAGGTGGGCTGAGACCATCCTTAGCTCTCTTGCTTCTGCATGTGTGCTGGGGACAACATGGCAGGATGTGATGTCCCTGTTGCTTCTGCCATACCCCAGGGACCTTTCTTGGTGCTCTTTGCAGCTCAGAACCTATTTAGCCTGGCAGCATCTTCCTAAAGGGCAGGGAGATGCAGGGGAGACAGCAGCTCTGTGTGTTTCCTTCATACTCACCCGCCAGGCTCCTGGAGCAGACTGGGGACTCGGATTTTGCCTGTGCTGAGACCTGCCCTGGGGAGAAGGAGGAGGGGACAGTAGGAGATATTGCCAAGGCTCTAAGTCCCATCTTGGTTTCTGGCCTTTTTCTCTTCACAGTCTGGCCTGACCCCCCTGCATGTGGCTGCCTTCATGGGACATCTGCCCATTGTCAAGACTCTGCTGCAGCGTGGAGCCTCTCCTAATGTATCCAACGTGGTGAGTTCCACCATGACTGGGGCTTTGGGAGCTCAGCTTATTGAGATGTTCAGCAGGATATCCAGGTCCTGCAGCCTCTGTTCACCTGAGCAATCCCTGGTGCCCTCTACTTTGTGCTAGCATGAGCAACCAGTAGGGGATGCAGGAACTGCTCTCCGCTCTTCAGAGCAGAGGAATGACTGTAGGAAAGCATTTTCCCTCCTTTAGCCTTACTACTTTATCCTGTCTTTGGTGCAGAAAGTAGAGACTCCTCTACACATGGCAGCCCGAGCTGGGCACACAGATGTGGCCAAGTACCTGCTGCAGAACAAAGCCAAAGCCAATGCTAAGGCCAAGGTAGGTATACAGGACATGTGTGGTAATCAGCTCTGGAAACAGCTGGTGCTGGTTTCTTTGCTGTCACATGCCCAGAGCACAGCCTAGCAGGGGCTGTGCAACAGTGGGAGCAGGGCTGGGACTCCTTTGGCATTGCAAGACGGGGACTGGTCCAGGTCTGCCCAAACAGCTTCTCTGCCACCCTCACAGGATGACCAGACTCCTCTGCACTGTGCTGCACGCATTGGCCACACTGGCATGGTCAAACTCCTTTTGGAGAACAACGCTAACCCCAACCTGGCCACCACAGCAGGGCACACACCCCTGCACATCACTGCCAGAGAGGGGCACATGGACACAGCCCTGGCCCTGCTGGAGAAGGGAGCCTCTCAGACCTGCATGACCAAGGTAGGCTGCTGAGTCCACTGCTGTGGAAGGCGATGCCCAGCTGGGGCAAGGCTGGGCAGGCTGGTGGCACAGTGTCCCTGTCACAGGAGGGGCAGCTTCCTCCTGTGTTGCAGCAGGCGCCAGCACTCTCTTCATCTCTGCCACTCTATGATGGGCTGCCTTTCTCCTCAGAAAGGATTTACCCCTCTCCACGTTGCAGCCAAGTATGGAAAGGTGGATGTGGCAGAGTTGCTGTTGGCACATGATGCTCACCCCAATGCATCAGGGAAGGTGAATGTTGCTTCTGTGGGGGGAGAGGTCTGCTATGGGGAGAGGCTCTGTCTCACCTGTCTGTACTGTCTCCCCCACTGCAGAATGGCCTGACTCCACTGCATGTGGCTGTGCACCACAACAACTTGGAGATTGTCAAACTGCTGCTTCCCAAGGGGAGCTCCCCACACAACTCAGCCTGGGTAAGTCTGAGCTGGGCTTCCCTAGGGACGTGGGGATGCGGTGTGTGTCCAGTGCCTGCCAGTTTGGGGCCAGCACTGCCCCTCAGCCCTGGCACTCAGGGAATGTCTAAGTGACTGATCACCACCAGCCTTTCTCCATGTCTGCTGCTCATGCCTGCCTGTCCTCACACCACTTGGAGCAGGCAGGGTAGCAGGCAGTGGTCCTGTTCCAGCAGACAGGCTGTGTCAGGGATGGTCCCTGCTAGCAGCATGGTGGTTGCTGCGTGGGGAATGTGTTTCCATGGCAAGTCCTGCAGAGCAGCGCTGCGGTCTGGCAGTTTGGGAAACCACAGGCGAATGTTTGCATGCAGCTATGAAGCAGTGAGTCAGAAAACCCACAAGCTTGTGAGAGTCACCCGGCTCTCCCTGAGCATGGGGAGCATCTCCCCACAGAGCACACCAGCAGGCGCCTTGCTTCCCGTGTTGTTTGCAAAAGCTGCATCTTCAAAACAGCCAAGTGGCTGGTGGTGCCAGCCCTCCCCATCTGGCACTTTCCTCTCCCCTGTGCAGGCTGCCGGCAGACATGCTGGGCAGGCATCGGGAGCAGCCGGTACCAGCGCCAGCCCCCGCTGCTCTGCGTCACCGACAGCCTGCACGTCAGCCCGGGCAGCGGGTGTCTGCCAGCTGGTCGGCTCCTGCAGCGTGGCAGCAGAGGCAGGACTCAAGGCCCTGCAGTCTCTGCCTGAATACTAATGCTGTGTATTGGGAGTTCAGCTCCACACCTCAGCCAGGCACATTCCAGGAGGTGTGCTGTCTGCCCCAGCTTTTTGTAGCTCCCAGAGGCTGCATACTGCTGCAGAAATTCATGTGTAGAAAACTTCAGGATAGCCCATATCAGTCGAACCTGAAGTGGATGGTCTTTGACACCCCCGTGCTGACTTGGCTGAAAGAGTCGATTTGGCATCAGAGTCAGGGCTGGTCGCTGTCAGAGAGATACTATGGGGGGCATCCCTGCGCTCTGGAGGCAGCTAGGAAGGGCAGACCTGGTCTGCAAGAGGCAGGGTGGCACCTCCCGTCCCTTCTGGTCTGCTTGGCAGAGCTGAGCACTGCAATGAGCCTCTCTCCCTGCAGAATGGGTACACCCCCCTTCACATCGCTGCCAAGCAGAACCAGATGGAAGTGGCCAGCAGCCTGCTGCAGTATGGGGCTTCTGCAAATGCTGAGTCTATGCAGGGAGTCACTCCCCTCCACCTGGCTTCCCAGGAGGGCCATGCAGACATGGTGGCACTGCTTTTCTCCAAACAAGCCAACGGCAACCTAGGCAACAAGGTAAGTTGTCCCAGCGCATCCTGCCAGGCTGGAGACAAACTTGCCAGCAGAGAGCAGCATCTGGGTGGTCGTCCAGACCCCTGTGCCTCCCTGTGTTTGGGTAGCAGTACACTGTGTCAGTCAGTTTGTCAGGTTGGAGACCTGACAGTCTCTGCTGCTGGACCTGCAGTGATGGCAGTGCCACTGTGCTGAGACCTCTTTTCTTTGCAGAGTGGCCTGACTCCTCTCCACCTTGCAGCCCAAGAGGGGCATGTGCTAGTTGCTGATGTTCTAGTGAAACATGGAGTCACAGTGGATGCAATGACCAGGGTAAAGTAGTAGATTGACCACGGCTTTGGTGAAACACATGGGGGTACTACCTCTAGGCCTGCTCAGGAAAGAGCATTTCTTTTCTTTCTCTTTATGCAAGAGACTCCCTTCTAACAGGCATCCTTACCATTTTGTCTGTGTCCTGGGGACTCTTTCTCCTCTTCCCCCCACCTCTCTGGAGGTGTGATTCTTACCTGTTTCTATAGCTCACCTCTGTACCCACAGGCACAGCGTGGTTTGAAACCCTCTGCTTTGGTCTTGGGCTTTTGGGAAGCCCCCACATGTATGCCTCATCCTTCATGCGTGAGGGCTTGCCTGTGGCATGAGCATATCCAAGCCAGAAGGGCAGTAAGCAGTGGTGAGGGCAGACTGAGACCTGATCTTGTCTTTCAGATGGGCTATACCCCGCTGCATGTGGCCAGCCATTATGGGAACATCAAGCTGGTGAAGTTCTTGCTGCAACACCAAGCGGATGTCAATGCCAAGACTAAGGTACAGAGGTGTCCTGTGCTCCAAGGACCCTTCTGCCCTGGGCAACATCATGCAGGTTGATGGGGAAGTGGAGCTCCTCATGCTCCAGGCACAAAGCATCATGTGTGAGGCCTGGGGGCATTTTTGGGGCAGCAGACTTCCAGAACTGATTGCAGCATCCTCTGTCCTCCCCTGCAGCTGGGCTACACCCCCCTGCACCAAGCAGCACAGCAGGGCCACACAGATGTGGTAACACTGCTGCTGAAGCATGGCGCATCTCCCAACGAGATCAGCACGGTGAGTACAACGCTTCCCTGCACCTCTCTACTCAGCTGCCTGAGCTGCCCCATGGCTGCTGCTGACCCAGTCTTCCCTCTGTGCACAGAATGGCACCACTCCCCTGGCCATTGCAAAGCGGCTTGGCTACATTTCTGTCACAGATGTGCTCAAGATTGTCACAGAGGAAACCGACATCCCGGTGAGCCCCTGGTACTAGGACCAGGATGCTGTGAAAGAGGGCTGGGACTGGGAACAGCCAGGGACAGGTCTGCAGCTGGGTGCCTAGCCTAGGTGCAAGGAGGGGGCTGCAGATAGCTGTGCAGAAAAATGCTGGCTTCCTTTGACTCTGCTCTGCTCCCACAGTCAGTTGGCGACAAGCACCGCATGAGCTTCCCAGAGACCGTAGATGAGATTCTGGATGTATCAGAGGATGAAGGTGAGGGGTGGGAGTTGGGTCACACCATCTCAGAGATCTGCCAGCTGGGTCAGTGTGACAAGCAGCAGTCATGGGGATGACACTAGTGTTCCTGCTGGAACAGGGACACCCCCAGTGTGGGGGAGCTCTGTGGGCCCTGCTGTGGTCTTGCAGAGAGGATGAGGGAAGCCCACCAGACTCCTGAGGTGGCACCTCCTGGCTTGGGTGTTTCCCGGCACTATGCAAGAGGGATATGTCTGGACATCTCCACGATCCCATGCCCCAAGGACTGTGCAGAGAGCCCTTGGGCATGCAGAGCCCCCACTGTGCCTTGCTCTGCTGGAGGGTACCAGCTCCCAGCCCAGCTGCAGCTGGTTTGCTCCTGCACCCTCCCACCAGTACCTCACTTTTGCCTCTTCTTACTTTGCAGGCACTGCTCATGTCACAGTAATGGGTATGAAATGTGTCCCCCTGTCCCAGCTCAATGGCCCATTTCACCCCATGGCCACTAACCACTACCATACCACCACACACCATATCCATCTGCTGAGCCTTGCTGCTGATCTGGTGCTCTCCAGTGACAACCCTGCCATCCTACCCTGCCAATCCATGCCCATGCTGCTTGCTTTGGTGTGACTGCATGAATAGGCATCCTCCCACTCAGGAGGACCCTGACTCCCTTGTCAGACCCAGGACCTGTCCATAGCATATGGAAGAACCTGTAACTGTGACAAACACTGGTGTCCCTCCGCAATTGCCCCCTGTCCAGAGCAGGGATTAACCTGAGAGATCAAGGGTCTCTTTGCTGCTGTGGTCCCCTCCCCATTTCTGGGGCACTCTGTCTGCTTTGGGAGGTGCTGGACACCCTCCCACAGGGGACTGGCCAGAGCCAAATTCTGATGAGCTAGTTAGCAGGTATTAATGGGACCAGTGGTAGCATTAGCAGAGCTCTGTGCCTCCAGTAGGGCGTAGTGTTAGGGCAGCCTCCTGCACCCCAAGTTGTGCCTATGTCCCTGACCCAGACACTGAAGTTTAAGGTGTCCTTTGAAGTCTCTGCACTGTGTTTGGTGCTGTGAGAAAGAGGTTAGTGAACAGCCAGATTTCCCAATGGCTCCCAGAGCTCCTGTCCCACTGGCCTGCTGCATGGGCCTTGCCCTGCCAGAAGACCCATTCTGGCAGACAGCAAAGCCCCCTCTGTGTCTGGCTGAGACCCAGGGGACAAGTGAGTGTCTCAAGCAGTGGGCAGGTATGGGCCCTGGCTCCAGCCCTGGGGAGGGGTAGGGGCAAGGGCTGGATATCCCTGTGTTCCCTTGTCTGTCTGCCTCTGCTTGCTGAGCCAGCTCTTGGTTTCAGAGGAAGAGCTGATTGCACCAAAACCCAAGACACCTGATTTCGGAGACCAGGAAGGCAAAAGGGAGAGACTGGAGTTCATGACCACAGCAATACTGGAGCAAACGTAAGAGATGCTGTATGGTGGGGAGGGAACAGGTACAGGGCACAGGACCAGCCTTGTGCTGGGCTGGGCTTCCTGCATAAGACTCCAGGCAAGGAACAGATCACTGAACCCTCACTGGTTGGCATGGCAGGGAAAGCTAGTCAATGCTGTTTCTGCACCAAGACATGGGACTGCTATTTAGTTTGCTTTTGTCTAGTGGTTCCAGGACTCTGTGGGGATGGGTAGAGGCTGAGGGACCCTCCCATTTCTGTGGCTGTCACTACCCTCTCCTGCCAGGGTGGAGTCTCCAGCTGTCCTGCAGGTCCCCTGCATCCCACCTGAAACTGTAGTGACCAGAGCTGAGGAGACTGAGCAGGTAGGACCTGTGGAGACAGAAGCTGAGCAAGTCAGCCTGCTGCATGCACCCTCGGTGTCCCCACAGGAGGTGAGCATGAGATACAGCCTGCCATGGCCTCCCCCAGGCATTCCCTGCTGGGGCAGTTCCCCCATCACCACGTAGCTCAAGTGTGTGATGGGTAATGGGCATTGACCCGGTGATACAGGACTGTCCAGCGAGGATTGTATAAGGGTGGGCAGGCTCAACACCCCCAGATAGGACCCTTTGTCCACAGGTTCTCTTCCCTGCCTTACACAGCCCTCCAAAGAGTTCGACGAGGACTCCCTGATCCCCAGCAGCCCTGCCACTGAGACCTCGGATAACATCAGCCCGGTGGCCAGCCCTGTGCACACAGGGTGAGTGCCCAGCCTGTGCAGCACACGCATGCTCTGTTCATCAGCTGGCTGCAAGGTGCCCACATGCTCACACCTCTGTCCACTCCAGGTTCCTGGTAAGCTTCATGGTGGATGCTCGTGGTGGCTCCATGCGGGGCAGCCGGCACCATGGTCTGCGTGTGGTCATCCCGCCCCGTGCCTGTGCTGCACCGACCCGCATCACCTGCCGCCTGGTGAAGCCCCAAAAGCTACCTGCACCCCCACCACTGGCTGAGGAGGAGGGTCTGAGCAGTCGGATCATTGCTCTGGGGCCTGCTGGTGCCCAATTCCTCAGGTGAGCACAGCTGGGAAAAGAGCAGATTGGGCTGCCCACACCAGGGTCATCCCTCAGGACTGGGAACAGATCTGGGCTCATCTAGAGGGCTTTGCCATCCAGGGCAAGACCTCTGCCTATCTCTGCTTCTTGAGGTTGGCAGAGGAGAGATCCTACCTCTTGCTGGGCATGACAAGTTTATGGCATGGGTCATTCAAGAGTAACAGAACAGTGGCAGAAAAGCCCTGAGCAGCCCTGTCCCACCACATGCAGAATCCTCTTTCCCAGAGCGAGGGAGATCATCAGTCCTTCCCCCAGCAGCTGCACAGCATGGGCAGGCACTCTGCCCAGGGCCATCCTGCTGCCTTGCACGTCCTTGTGGCAGCTTGTGTGGCCTTCCTCTGCTGTCTGCAGCCCTGTCATTGTGGAGATTCCACACTTTGCCTCATATGGACGTGGAGACCGTGAGCTGGTAGTGCTGCGCAGTGAGAACGGCTCTGTCTGGAAGGAGCACCGCAACCGCTATGAGGAGAGCTACATGGACCAGCTGCTCAATGGCATGGACGAGGGTGAGCGTGCCAGGAGGGCAGGGGCTCCACACCTCACAGCTTCCTGCAGGCAGGGCTGTGGTGGCCCGCGTGGTGGAATGGGGCTGAGGGGGTTGGTCAGCGTAGCACGGAGGAGTGTTGAGTGTCAGACACAGGCTTGGTGGATGAGCGCTGATGGCTGTGCTGCCCTCGCAGAGCTGGAGAGCCAGGAGGAGCTGGATAAGAAGAGGGTCTGCCGCATCATCACCACCGACTTCCCTCTCTACTTCGTGGTCATGTCCCGGATTTGCCAGGACTGTGATATGATTGGCCCTGAAGGAGGGTGTTTGAAAAGCACACTGGTGCCCATGGTACAGGCCACCTTCCCAGACACTGCTGTCACCAAAAGAGTGAGGCTGGCCCTGCAGGTGAGCCTCAGAGAGCCAGGCCTGGGGCCTAGACATACTTCTGCAGTCAGGGGCGGGCAGCAAGCCCAGGCTGTGTCCCAGCCTGGGGAAAAGCCATCCCTGATTCCCATCCTTGTACTACCCACAGGCACAGCCTGTGCCTGATGAGTTGGTGACTAAGCTGCTGGGGAACCAAGCGACCTTCAGCCCCATTGTCACAGTGGAGCCACGACGGAGGAAGTTCCACCGCCCCATTGGCCTCCGTATCCCACTGCCACCATCCTGGAAGGACAATCCCCGAGACAGTGGTGAGGGTGACACCACCAGCCTACGTCTGCTCTGCAGTGTGATTGGTGAGACTACAAGCGTGCTCTCCACGGGGATGGGCTGGGCTGCCTCAGGGGGATGCAGGCTCCAGGGAGCTCAGTAAAGGGTGCAGCTGTGGAGAAAGCAAATGCCTGGGGGATGCAGACCCTGGGCTTATGGAAAGAGACAGTATGATCACCCTTGCTTTCTGCTGCAGGAGGGACAGCCCAAGCCCAGTGGGAAGACATAACAGGCACCACAAAGCTGGTCTATGAAAATGAGTGTGCTAACTTTACCACCAATGTGTCTGCCAGGTGAGTCCTGGGCAAACGTGTCCATCTCAGGATATCTGGTACTCCTTGGGCCTTACTACAGCCTTTGCTGGGAAAAGCCCCTTACTGCTGTGCTGCCCTATTCCTACATGCAGGGTGGTTTCCTCTAGCCTTAAGACCCCCATGTTGCCTGAGCACACTCCAGGAACCCTCATGACAGCTGGGTGTACAGAAGGAAGGGGGCCATTATCTGTACTTGGCTGGGTCCCCATCACAGATGGGGCTACACCTGTGTCCAGAACTCTTGGGGCTTCCTCTGCAGTCCAGTTGGCTGTTGAGGGGGGCAGGGGGCAGCTCTCTGCCACCACCCAGCAGCACCCCAACCCAGATCTCCTGCAGGTTCTGGCTGGCCGACTGCCCACGCACAGCTGAGGCTGTGCACTTTGCCACCATGCTGTACAAGGAGCTGACAGCCGTGCCCTACATGGCCAAATTTGTGGTGTTTGCCAAGATGAACGATGCGCGAGAAGGCCGGCTGCGCTGCTACTGCATGACTGATGACAAGGTTGACAAGACTTTAGAGCAGCATGAGAACTTCACTGAGGTGGCCCGCAGCAGGGACATTGAGGTTTGTCCCCAGCAGCATGTGTGGAGGGCAGCAGGGAGAGGGATAACAAAGTGAGGGGAGACTGATGCAAGTGGAAGGGCCTGGCCCTGGCATGGCTAGGAGAGTCAGGGCTACCTGCCCTATCCAGGAGCAGGATAAGCAGCTCTACACTGGGTCTGAGTATATTTTCTGCTCCTGGGCAGGTGGTGGAGGGAATGCCTTTGCATGTCGAACTCTCAGGGAACCTGGTGCCTGTCAAGAAGGCTGCTCAGCCCCGCACCTTCCTCTTCCAGTCCTTCCGGGAGAATCGTCTTGTCATCCCCATCAAGGTAATGTCAGGGTACAGGACCGGGCAAGCAGTCAGGGCCCTTCCTTGTGCCAAGCCACCTAACTGGGCTCTGGCACTCAGGTCCGGGACAGCAGCCGGGAAGCCAGTGGCTCCCTGTCTTTCTTGCGCAAGGCCATGAAATACGAAGACCTCCAGCATGTGCTCTGCCACCTGAACATCAGCATACCACCCTGCACCAAGGTCAGTCTTTGGCGCTGTGGTAGGGGGCAGTGAGGGCACATCCCCTCCCCAAGTGCAGGGGACAGCCCTTGCTGTTAGCTTTCTTCTTCACCTGCTCCATTTGACCACGTCATGCCACTCTGGAGCTGAAGGAGAAGCAATCATGTCAGTGCAGAGCAGCTGCCCTCTTTCCAAGCTGTTGACCCCTTGTTTTGTCACCACTTTTACAGGGCAGTGGCAGTGATGAGCGAAGGAGGACACTGACGCCATTGTCTCTGCGGGAGCGATACAGCATTCTAAGTGAGACCAGTTTTGGTATGCAGCCTGCTGGGACCATTCCAGCCCACTCACTACCTGCACTTGGGGTTCTCAAGCCAGTGGGAAGGCTGGGATGGTCCTGTCACAGTTGCACAGACAGCAACTTCCCTTTCCCTGAAGGGCGCCCTGCAGGGCGGTGCTGTGCCTATGGGTCTGTGTGACCCCCAGAACCAGCACCCCATTCCCCTCACCACTCTGGTGCAGGGCCCTGTGCAGCTGGGCTGACTCCCTCTTCTCCTCCAGGCTCTCTGAGCAGCACAGACAAGGCAGACCAGAAGATGGTTGACATAGCAGAACAGCTGGGTCTCAGCTGGGCCGGTGAGTCCACACCTGACAGTTCTGAGGATGCACAACACTCCTTGCAAAGCTGACACTTAGGGAGGCTGGAACCTCCCTGTGCTGCCAGGTGTAGAGACTGCTTTGTGCTGTACCCCTGCTGTGAGCATTCCAGGGCACTGAAATGAACTTTTCCATGGCTGTGCACATATCCACACACAAGGGTACCAGGCTAGGGCTTTGTTATGAGCTGTACATATTGCTGCTGTTGGTTGCAGCCACACAATCCAATGGCAGACCCTACACTTCTTAGCATGAGACCCTATTGTGCTAGTCACAGCCAACCTGAGCAGGAGGGCTTCAGCCCCTGCCCCATCCCAGCTCCTGCATGTTCTGCTGTGCAGTTACATATAACAGAGGGTTTCTGCACTGGTCCTGGCTGAGCACTTCACAACGTCCCTAGCCTTGTGATGGGCACCAGAGGATATGATACTGATGTGGTGTTTTCCCCAGAGCTGGCACGTGAGCTGCAGTTTGGGGTGGATGACATCAACAGGATACGTGTGGAGAACCCCAACTCCCTTCTGGAGCAGAGCATAGCCTTACTCAACCTCTGGGCCAGCCGCGAGGGCAAGAATGTCAAGAGTGAGTAGTTGTGGTGCCCTTTTACAGACACAGAGGTGGCAGAGCAGAGCAGTGTGTGCATCTTCAAGGATCACTGGCTGGCTTTACAGTGGTGGTTCATGCATATCTGCCTTCCCTGCCCACCTGGAGGGTGTCTGGGGCATGGCTATGTCTTCCCAAGTGACTAGTTTGCTGGCACCATCTTCCCCTTGCAGTTGAGAACCTGTACACGGCACTGAGAAACATTGACCGCAGCGAGATTGTCAACATGCTGGAGGGCTCGGGTCGGCTGAGCCGCAGCCTGAAGGGAAGCTGGCGCTACACGGACAGAGACTACTCCCTCTCACCATCCCAGATGAATGGTGAGCCCAGCTTCTGGCAGGGAATGCAGGAGGGCCCTTGAGACCACAGTCTGTGCAGAGACTGGGGCTGGTGTCTTGCCTGACCAGGTTGCACCCACTGAGAACTGAGTGGGCACATTGCTGACAGATGTGGCCTCTTCACTGGGGCTTATGTTGCAGAAAGCTTGGCTCTGCCATCCTGCTTTCTCAGAAACTCTCCAGGTGTTTCTTATCTCAGTGTGCCAGTGAGAGGTGCCTCTGGCTATGCAAGCTGATCAGCGGCCAGGGAGCTCACTGAGTCCTGGCTGTACAGCTGTGGTGGTGTGCCTGGATGTGGGAACACAGCCAGAGTCAGCTGTGGCATACGCTGCTGGAGCCGGCACACCAGAAAGGGGCAGGGCTTTGTGCTGCTACAGCCCTGCACGGTGGCTCTGCCCCTGCAGCACTGGCTCATCGCTCTCTCCCTCTCTGTCTCTCCCCTTGTTCTGTTTTCTCTAACATGCCACCTAGTGCTGCCAGGTGCGGGCACTCCTGTGGGTCACTTCTTTTCACCTGTCTCCTCTGAGCTCATCCTGGCCTCTCCTCTCATCTTCCACTGCCTGTCTCCACTGTCTCCACCTCAGCTAAGCCCTCTGGGAGCCGCATCCTGCTCCAGCGACTGCATGTCATCAGGGACTACCCCTCTTACAGCTGTCATGCTTGCAGGCAGCCATCCCAGGCCTTCTTCTCCTGCACAGTTCCTTCCCTTGCTGGCACTGCACTGCATGCCCCTGGCCAGGCACCTGGGTGTCCATGTGTGAGGTGCCCTTTCTGTGCCAGGGGTGCCAGCTGTACCCTGTTCCTTGGCTGTGGTTGCCATTCCCTGGCTGCCAGGGGAGCAGAACAGGTTCACTGCTGATATCCAGGGGTGAAAAAATGGCTCAAAGCTGAAAAAGGCTGAGCAAAGCCACCTGCATGGGTGGGAGTGCCTGGCTTGGTTGTAATTCATATAGATACGCCTGAGCTGTGCACATCCTGGGCGATGAGATATAACAGTGGCTTGTAGCCCTGGAGACGCTAACAGGGTTGTAAGGCCCTGACTGCCTTCTGCAGGGCCTTGGGGTGCATGGCATGTTCCAGGGCCATCCTTCTCTGCTCATGGTACTTCCAACCTGCTCCTCTGGGCTGTGGACAGTGTTTGGCTTTGAGAGTTGGTGCCTGTCAGACTCGGCTACTTGAACTCCAGGCTAACTGCCAGCCAGCTGATGCTGGATGGGGGCTGTGGGCAGGGACCAGGGGTCTGATGGAGCAAGGTAGCAAAGAGGGCGCTATGTCCTTCAGTGTGGATGGAGCATCGTGTGAACACCAGCCCAGTCCTCCTCACAGGGAGGAGGCAGCCCCAGGACCTGCCCAGAGCAGCCCCAGGACTTGAAGGGAGGCATGGCAGCATTTGCAGGGACCATGTGAAAGCAGCCGCTGCTGTGAGCACAGCCCTGCTCAGCCTGGGCACAGGGCTGTGGCATGACCTTTGCTGTCCTTGGGGCAGTCATCCTCCCAGAAGCTGTTTCCCTTTTGTCCTACTGTGCTTGTGCGTGTGTGAGATGGCTGCTGGACATGATGCCTCTGTCTGCCCATATAGGTTACGCTTCACTGCAGGACGAGCTGCTGTCCCCTGCCTCCCTGCATTACACACTGCCATCCCCGCTGCGTGCCGACCAGTACTGGAATGAGGTGGCCATCATGGATGCTATCCCCATGGCTGCCACTGAGCAGGATGCCCTGATGGAGATGTCCGACATGCAGGTGTGGTCCTCAGGGCTCACCCCCTCGCTGGTGACTGCTGAGGACTCCTCTCTGGAGTGCAGCAAGGCTGAGGACTCGGATGCCACAAGCGAAGGCCGGTTCCCAGGGCAACTTCTAGCAGATGCTCATGGCCCAGACCACATGGGCTCTATGGACCTGGTTGAGGATGACACAGTGGACTCAGATGCCATGAATGGCCTGATTGACCTTCTAGAGCAGGAGGAGGGGCAGAGGCCAGAGGGAAAGATGCCATCTGGTGATCATCAACCAGGGACTGGGGAGCAGGACCCGGAGAGTGAAGTCTCTTTTGTTTCAGTTCAGCAGAAGGTGCAAGCCAGGATCATGACATCACCCTCCTTTAGCCATGCTGTGGAGAAGAGTGCAGACAGGTACTACAGCCTGGGGCACCAGGGTGACCATGGTAGGGGAGCACAACTGCTTTGCCAGCTACTGCCCTGTGCTCACCAGCTGCAATAATCTCCCTGCTTTGCTTGCTTCCCTGCTGGCCTCCCACTCTGGAGCCCAGGCATCTGCAGTACATAGAACAATGGTTGGGCCGAGTGTCTCACACTTTTCTGGCAATGCTCTGGAGGGCAGAACATTGCAGAACACCTGGGAAGGACCCTAGTCAGCCAGGCCCTGCATGTAGGTTGTACTTACCAGAGCTAACCCTAACCTGGGCTGCCTGCTCCCTTCCCAGTGGCAGGAACCCATGAGGTCCCTGGCAGCACCCAGAAATGCTCCACAGCATTAGATCACATTAGAGCTAGACCACACTAGACCATGAGAGCACAGCACACTCTTGCCTAAGACTCTGGCAGCCAAACCGTGAGGCTGTGGGATGGGCAGGGAGCATAGCATAGAGGTGGCCTGTGCCTTTTTGTGCATCTGTGTATTTTGTGCTGCTTCTGCCAGATGCCCAGCAGTGCCGTGAGCTGGGGAGTGGAGCCAGCGCCTCTGGGGTGCAGGCTGCGCCGGTGTGCCTGCCGGAGCTCGGCTGGTGCTCAGGGTGCAGCACTCCATGCAAAGCTGACTGCCTCTCTCTTTCTGTCTCTCTCTCCCTATCCCTGTCCCTCTCTGGTGCCCAGGCTGAGGGACTGGAATGCAGAAGGCTCCTTTATCTCCTGCCTACAGGACCTGACAGCGGGCTCCTGGCAGGAGGGAGTCACCCAAAAGCTGCTCCCAACGCACACCACAGCCTCCGGGGCACAGGGCCAGGAGCAAGAGCAGGTCCTGATGCCAGCCATGGAGCTGATGCGGATCAGCTCTACAGAGGACAGCGACCGGCAGCCTCAGCACCCCACAGGCGGCTGGCAGGAGGAGGCCGACAGCCGCTTCTTTGGGCAGGTGAGGGTGGGAGCAGGGGACTCAGCCCTGCAGGAAGTGGTGGCCTCTTCTGGAGCCTGCTGCAAGGCCAGTCAGGCAGACCAGGTGCTAGCTCCTCAACTCTTCTGTACTTCCTGCCCCTTGGGGTGCCTCTCAGCCCGGAATAGCCTGCAGTGCTTGATACCTGAGCTCTTGCTCTCCATTTATAACCCAGTCACCCTCCCAGACTTGTTCTTTATTGAGTATCTGCCCTGGCTGCCAGCCCAACAGCCTGCTGGAGCCAGAAATAGAGCTGGTCTAGGGGCCAGGCTGGGTGGTGGGCTTGATGCCACGGTCACACAGAGCCAGCAGGTACAAGGTGAGGGCAAGCACCTTCCCCCAGCCAGGGCACGCACAGCCATCCCGGCAGCACGGCCGTGCTTGGAGGTGGCTGTTCAGCTCCACCGCGTGTGTTACCTGAGTCACACGTGATTCCAATGACACCCCAAAGCCCTGGCTTTTGCCCAGGACTTCGTTTGTCCTGTAATGGAAGACTGCACACTGCCCTCCCACCGTAGTCAGGAGGACAGGCTGTTGGGCAAGCTGACAGAGCAGAGGGACAGAGCTGTCCTGCTTCCAGCCGGGCCGGGGCAGTCCTGGGCACATGACCTCGAGCGAAGCTGTGACTGCGAAGGACGCCCAGCTGCCCGCTCCCTTCTCGCCGCCCACAGCCAGCAGAGCTGCGGCAGCCGAGCTTACAGCAGCTCCCGCAGAGCCGGGGCACTGCGCGGGCAGGCTCACAGCCGCAGGCCAGCACCCGGCCCTCAGCATGGCTGAGTTCTGACAGCGGGCTCAGAGCCGCGGCACACGCGCGGCTGTGCGGCCGGAGGCACGATGTGGGCTTTCCTGGCCCAGCTGCTGATCGCTCTGGTGCTTCTGGCCTTCTTCCTGGTCAGCTGCCAGAACGTCATGCACATCGTCAGGGGCTCTGTCCGCTTCCTGCTCAAACACGCCCATCGTGAGCTGGACAAGGAGCTCGGGGAGAGCCCGGGGCTGGCGGATGACGAGGAGGCTCTCTCCGCCAGAGTCGTCCGCCGGCGCGTCCTCCTGAAGGTAACGAGCGGGGCAGCTGAGAGAGCAGCCCTAGAGCCGGTGCAGAGGAAAGCAGTGAAGGGTCAGGGCAGGGTGGGAGACAGAGGCTGTGGGGTGCATGTCAGGTGCATTTTTCTACCTGCGAAACAACTTCCCTCGTTTCCCTCGCATGCCCTGATCTCCCTTCCGTTCCTGCAGGGGAATGAAGCCCTTCATCTCCCTGGAGAGCAGGTGACTGAGGAGCAGTTCACAGATGATCAAGGCAATATCATCACCAAGAAGGTGAGTGATCAGCGGCAAGATATGGGCAAAGGGCATGCCGCAGCCTTTCCCTTCTCCCCTCCACCCCGTTAGCATGAGGCCCATGTAGGGCATTCGTGCCCCGCTGTCTTCGGTTACAGTCACGGCACTTCTCCAGCTCATGGGACACACAGAGGCTGCACACCACGTGCAGTTTAGGACCAGACTGGGTGAGGAGGGAGTCACGGTGCCCTGGGGCTAGTTGTGACGCCCAGCTGTGTGGGTCTCCACAGATTATCCGGAAGGTGGTGCGTCATCTGGGCCCTGGTGTCATGGATGACAGGCAGGAACAGGAGGAGCTGATTCTGGAGGGCTCCCTACAGGAGCCCCAAGACCTGGAGGCTGAGGATGATCACTTCATGAAGTACTCCATCTTGCATCAGGATGGTCTGGGTGCCAAGGTACAGTGTGGCTCTTAACTGTACGTTGCAGGCAGCCTGCCTGGGGCGTCACCCATGACTCTCAGGAGTTCTGCAGGACTCTCAGGCTCTGGGACAATGTCACACTCTGTCCTTTCTTCTGCCCTGTACTCCTCTCCTGTTTCCCCTCTAAGACTTCCAGGGGCAAATACTGCCCACTTCACCAGTCTTCTTGCTTGGTGTTTTCTGCCTGCCAACTGACTCTACCTTTCCCTCTCCTGTCCTCTTCTCTGTGTCTGTCTGTTCACCTGGGTGATGTCCTGCTTCCTGCCCCTGCGGCTTCCTCAGGAGGAGGTGCGAGTGCGTGTCCCGAAACCAGAGGTCTCTGGGGGCAGGATGGGGGCTCAGATAGTGAAACGAGCCAGCCTGAAAAGGGGGAAGCAGTGACCCCTCAAATGGCCTCTTTTGAGGTAACCCTATCCTTGCTCTTCCTTCTGTCCTGGTTCTCCATATTGCTGCCTGCACTGAGCTGCTGGTCATGCATATTCTCCTGGGGAACGTGTGGCGGGGCTGCTCCCAGCTCTTGGCTTGCAGAGAGGGTTTGCTGTGCTGCAGCAAAAGACTGGGGGTAGGCAGCAGTGTGCCTCTAATGATAACCTGCTCCTGGGTGCTATGGGCACAGGGTGCCCTGGTCTGCAGTGATGCTCCAGCCAGCTGTGTGCACAGCACCCCACTGCAGCCACAGTGCCAAGGGCTGCTGCTGCAGTGACAGCACCCTGGGTGCTCGGGGTGACCGTCCCCAGTGACAGGGTCACCGAGTTGTTACTCCTGGTTATGCTGGGCTACAGGCAGAGGGGTGGTCTTTGTACAAAGCCAGTCCAGGGACTCGATTGTGTTTGTATAGGGTCTGAGCAGAAGTACCCCCTTCATACATGAGCAGTAACTGTGCAGCCTTGTGGCAGATGAGACCAGCCCTTGGAGTTGGTGCCTTGGTATCCCCCTTCCCAAGGGGCACAGCTGGGCACTGGCAGAGCTGTGGGTCAGATGAAGCATGTCCCGGTTCTGTGGGGCCATGGCCTACTGCCTCTGCTCACTGTTCTGGGAGATGCAGCTACTGCCTCTGCCAGCCATGTAGAGGAAAGCATTGAGGTTGCTGAAGCCAGAATGGGGGCAGACCTTGGCAGGGTGCTGCTGGGGAATGTCAGGGCAGTAGGGATGCAGGAGTGGTGGGTGCAGGAATATGACACTTGTAGGGGCTGACGACATGGCACCCGCCTTTGACCTAGGACATTTCTTACATTGATCTCCACTGAGCTCAGAATGACCCCTTAAGTCTTGTGCATTTCCTGATCTCCCTGCCTTCCCTAGAGTGGGAATGGGACTAGACCAGGTTGAAGGCAAGGTGCTTGGCACAGCACGCTTGAGCCTAGCTGCATAATTTTTCTCTGCACACTCATTGCTGGGCTGACAGTGCAGTGCTGGGGGAAGGTGTTGCATATGTACTCCCCAGCTGTCCAGCACTACCTCCTACTGGTAGGAGGCTGCCAAACAAGGGCAGTTGGTCCTCTGATCTCTGCTGTACGTGCATGACTTGCTCTGTCCTCCCTTTCCCTTCTCTCTCCTCTCTGTCAGTGAGCTCTCTGTGGGTGTATGAAAGTCAAGAGGCTTATGCTTGTGGGCATGTTCATGCAGACTGTCTCCCTCTGCCTGCCCCACTCCCCAGACAGTCCTTGGCTCTGCTTCTCTCTGGGGCACTGCTCCTGTTGCTTTGCCTTTGCAGTTTTCCATTGTGTGAAAGTGGCCCAGGGTGTGCACTGGGGAAGATTTTCATCACTGCTGGGAGAGTGGGGTGCAGTCAGTCACCCTAGCTGAGGTGGGGGGGGGGGGGGC